AGATCAACTCATGCCCCAGCCCTGCAAAAGAAAAATCAGGGCAAACTACACAGTTATGCTTGAGGGGCAAGCATTCAGATTCTAGGAGCCTCATCATTCCCCCCAGGCACTGAATGATGCATTGAGGGAAGTTTACATGGAAAGGTAAACTTAAGAGTTCCTTGATGTCCTTCCAAATGATGGTACCAAAGACATGGGAAGGGAGCTAGTGAGTGATGAAGTATACTTAGAACCAGCTTAAGAGCATTATCAATAAATAGTCCTAATCATGATAGCTCAACCAGGAAAAAATGGCATATGGTGGTAATAACCCACATGAAGCTTTCAGTAAAACATTAAAAATAAGCACAATTCATTCTGCCCCCTTAAAATTCTTTCATGTCTCTGATTCCTGCCACATCTCCCTACAGTAATCGGTAATCCCAACCAGAGGAGGAGTAACAGGTGCTGAATAGTCACCGCCAATTCCTGTTTCACCTCCCATCTTTTTACTGGCATCACTTAGTCATGGGAAATAACTTTCTAACACGATGGTGGGCTATAAGTCTATACTGGTAGGGACACCCACCTAAGAGTTACTCTTACCTGCACCATATTTGGTAGGGCTCCCTTAAGTGCACAATTTCCTATGTGTGGAAATGCTAGCAGGGGATGGTGTTCATGCTGGTGGTCATGATTGGGGTAAACTGGGAAAGGGGAAAAGCTGAAGTTGGTCCTTAAGGAACTTCATATCCTTTAATCCAGCCAAATCCAGGTGCGTCTGGGAGAACACAACATTGCAGTCTCTGAGGGTGCTGAGCAATTCATCAATTCAGCCAAGGTCATCCGCCACCCTAAATACAATGAAAAAATTTTGATAATGACATCATGCTGATTAAACTGAGTTCGCCTGCCACCCTCAACTCTCGAGTGTCTGCTGTCTCTCTGCCAAAATCCTGTGCGGCTGCTGGTACCCAGTGCCTCATCTCTGGCTGGGGGAATCTCCAGAGCACTGGGCGTAAGTGTCACATGGAACAAAAGCACCAACTCTGGAAATCCTAGAAGGGAAAGACATGTCGAGGGTCAGTTAGTCCAAATTGTCACTCAAGGCAAGATTCCTAGAGGATAGTTTATAGATATATGGAGTCTTAGGAAGATCCCTTTGCTGGAAAACAACAAAAATGAGCTATGATAAAGATGGCAGATATTCAACTTAAGTGTGATTAGTGATTTGCAAAGAAGTAGAAACTGAGGAGGTAAACAGAACAGAGGGATTTGATACTGCCTAAAGTAGAGACCTGCTTGAGAAATAGTCTAGATTTGAGATCTGTAGCCACTGATAAAGTCAGAGAGAACAACTTGTTGGTTAAAACTGTTGGCAAGACTTTCCAGATAAAAGTTGTTCTTCCAAAATAAAAGTTACCTGCAACCTGAGAGAGTAAGGAAAGAGGGGGGAAGATTGGGAAAGAAATCTCCAGGAATCCTGTAGGTAATATTCTTCTATTTTTACTCCTACATCCAACAGAAAACTATCCTGATCTTCTGCAGTGTCTTCAAGCACCCATCCTCTCTGACAGCACTTGCCGCAATGCCTACCCTGGCAAGATCAGCAGCAACATGATCTGTCTGGGCTACCTGCAGGGTGGAAAGGACTCCTGCCAGGTCAGTTTCTTTGTACTCGTTTCAGCAGAACTTCATGCCCTTCCACTATAGTTCCCTTTCCCAAAACACAGATTGAAAAGCTGTCTCTGGGATGGATTATAAGGGACCACGGAGAGATTTGAGATCAGTGATAAATTTTCTTTTTGAGATATTAATGGCTAGGGCTAAGAGTCAAAAGATACACAGAAGATGGTGTGCATAAGGCACCCTGCTGAAGAGGTATATTGTAGAAGGGAGCTTTCTGAAAAAAAAGCAGGGCTAGCTGGGCAGCACTGCACTCACCAGTCCTCACCTCTTCTTGGCCCTGCATGCCTACAACTAAGAAAAGAGCAGGAGCTAGAAGGAGGGAGGAGAAAGGAGAGGCATGCTGTCAGAGATTGAGAATTGGATTTCCAGGGGAAGGGAAGGTGCTTCCTAGAGAATCAGCTACCTGGGAAAACGGACCCAGAGTAATGGAGAAACAGCATTTTGCCTTTCTTCCATCTTGGCATAGTTGAGAGTTCTTACTGTCTCTTCCCTCTTGTGCAGGGTGACTCTGGTGGCCCTGTGGTCTGCAACAGAGAGCTCCAGGGCATTGTCTCCTGGGGTATTGGCTGCGCTCAAAAGGGCAAACCTGGTGTCTACACCAAAGTCTGCAACTATGTGAGATGGATTCAGTGGACCATCGCTAACAACTAAGCATGTAAGCATTTGTACCGATCTAAGCACCAATCTGTTGGTCAACTTCACCTTCCAACCATACCTAAAAACAGTAGCTAAAATAAAAACATTTTGTTTCACATCGCATGTGTCCAAGAACTGTCCTTACTTAGTATTATGAACTTTCTCTTCAACCCGGCTTCTGAGTAAGAGGATGTACATAGAATTGAACAATTACACAAAGATAGAAATGGAGAGGTTATGTCATGATTCATTCAGCCTGCTCAAAATGAATTTGCTGATCAACTACTATCTGCTAGGCTCTGTGTGGTCCACTGAGGATATAAGCATGGATAAGCTTAGAGGTCACTGATACCATCACATTTTTAAAAAATTTTTTATTATGTTAATCACCATACATTACATCATTAGTTTTAGATGTAGTGTTCCATGATTCATTGTTTGTGCATAACACCCAGTGCTCCATGCAGAA